ACATACATACATACATACATACATACATTTGGTATAAGATCTTGTCAGTCCACTGATGAGTCAGTAATTAGCAATGAGATAATATTGATAATTATGATTATTAGATTATTGCTGGAAATAAATTCTCATTGCTTAGAATGTAGTTCTTATTAGCATATCGAGATAAATAGGAAATGCTTTCAGTTTTTATTTAAAATTCACTTATTACTGCCCTCTAGAACATGTTTGGTTCATAATTTGTTCAGGAACCTAAGCTTAATGATATGATATGCCTTTCACTTACTTATGATCTGGTGGTAGCATTAGCACTTAGACTTATATACTGCTTTACAGCCCTCTCTAAGCAGTTTACAGAGTCAGCTTATTGCCCCCAACAATTGCTATGCTTCCCTTGAGACTGAAGAATGTTTGAAATTTCAGGCGACACTGCTGTGCCTGCGGTTAGTATTTGTGATTTGCTACAGTAATCTTGAGAATATATTTTGTATTTATGCATCTGTGGTACTATTTTCATGGTATATTTGAAGGAGTTTCTAATCTGTTTCCTCCTAAATTGTAGGTGCCATTAAGTCGGGTTCAGTTCCTGGTCATCTTGACCTGCCTTCCCTTTGATGCAGTCCATCTACCTTATCTGTTTTCCTTTTCGGCTTTCCTTGGCCTTGGCTAACTGCAGTAATGGAACTAAAATGAACTATCTTATCACAGTAGGATTTTTCTTTTAAAAAAAATGCAGTTTCCGAAAGAATTTTTTTTTTGTTATATTCCTTGCAGCAATATAAAAAATTAGACTATATTTTCTTCGCTGTCTTTAGACTACCCGGCTTCCCCGTGGCTGGTGTTTATGGGATAAAAATGCAATTAATAATATGACTTGTTTGACCTCAGTTTTATTTTTAAAGTATTCTTTTCATTACATCTGCTTGTAGCAGAAATCATTGCTTACCAATGAAAATACCTAGATAATCTTTTGCTTGTATGTGATTGGATAAGATTTGGTTGTTTGTGCTGTTTGGGAATGTCTCATTAATATATAAAATCCACTTTTTTTTTTTAAGTCCCTTTTCTCAAGATTGGGGGGATTTTGTGTTTTTATAAATGATGCATGGACCTGATTTAATTGACCTGTTTTAGTATCGTTTAAAACAGAAGCTATTATGTGTAATAAATTATAATATAAAGGAAATGTATCCATCTCAGATTTTAAACTCTTGGAAGCTTCATGGAGCCTGAGAATATTTCTCAGAAGCAGATCAGTTTGGCTGGCTTTGGAAAACAATGAATGGTTAAGAGAATTGATTAAGACCCTCCAGTGTTAGATAAATCATATCTTAATTGCCATTTGCTTGAATCACTGCCAATGTAAGATCATAACATTTTGAGTAAATTCTTCAAGATGAAAAATCAGATGGGATATAAATATTCCTGAAAATGAAACTTGAGGTTGAAATAATTAAAATTTATTTAACACTTTCATTTTCTGCGCTTGGTTTTAAATTTTGTCTAATATGTTTTTAGTTTTCCCCTGTTCACTGTATAGAATTTTGATTTAAATATGCCTGAAAGAGTCTGAAGCAGTGAAAAACTGGCAATGCTTACATAATTGATGTCAGTAGAAATCTAATCACAGTCTCTGTTCAGATGGAATAATATTCCTATATTTTCTGTATTCCTATATTTTCTTCATATGTATGGAAACTTGACTTAGTAAAGAATGCAGTGTTTGGTACAGAATTTTGACTACTGGGTATTATATTGCTTTTAGATTAATTTTAAAAGAAATGTACCATTAAACTTGTTTACTTCTGACCCCAGTCCTAAATGGTAGTAACTTCCTAAACTGTTGGGTACCAATACCTAAGAAAACCAATTCCTACATTAATCTGCCTGTACTTTAGGATTATCTGCCAAAATGGGAGTTTTGGAGTGGTTTTTTTTGTTGTTGTTAACCAAAGTGGATACAAAAGAATGTTAA